CAACATTTGTTGCTTCGTTTAACTAGAAAGAGGATGAGAATTTGAGCTTATAAAATACGATTTTCTGTCTTGACTATGGGGGGCAGTGTAGATGAATGCCTTTGTAATGATTGCAGGCCTAGAAGAAAACAAGCATGTGGCAACGATTCACAAGGGGGTTAGAGCTTATTAATGATCACATAGGTCTTGTACGTTCTTTAGCGGGCAATGTGAATGATATTGTTGAAGACACAAAAGACGGTGTTTCAATTCAAGATCTATTCCGTGCAACGGGCTCAATCCGTGACGCTATGAGAGATTTAAGAGGTGCAAAGTTGCTTAAAACAAGCCATATCAAAGCGGTAAACAGACATTTAGACAGCGTTGATGATCGTCTTGAAAACTTAGATGACTTTTTAAGCATGGGCCTTATGCTTGATCTCAGTTATCGTGGTTTTTCAACTGTTGAATCAACTTTTGATCTCAAATCTCGAGGCCATCGTATCAATGTTTTTGAAGATGATCTTGATTTATAGAAATAATAAAATTGATTTGACTATTTTGGGGCGAAATTATATCGTCCCATTTTTTTATGAAAATTAAAAATTTACTTAGTCTGATGAGGTAATGGAAAAAATTGCCCGAGAATTTTGCCTATAAATTAACCAATCCGTAACGAATTGTGTGCTCGGGTACGCCCGTACACATGAAAGTTAGGGAGGTTGTACAATGTCTTTAAAATCAAAAATTCTTGCGGCATCATTGATGCTTTCTTTGGGGATCATTACACCAAATTCTTCTGTTTTTGCATCCGATGGAAGTCGTTGTTGTGGATGTTGGACCGGATTTGTGAGTGGTCTTCAAAGCTGCTGGGCTTGGATGACGCGTGCGGCAGAAGTTATCGACGATGCTTTAGATGAAGCAGACGAACGTTTGGAACAGTTTCAAACTCACGTGAACCGATTGGACCAACGTATTGCGGCACTCAGTACAATCGTAGAGTTGGATGACGATGAGCACGTTCTCCGAATTCGACAAGGGTTAGATCTGATTAATCGCCACATAGAATTGGTGCAGGCTTTGATTGGTGCTGCGGACGATATTGTTGAAGATGCAAGGGATGGTGTGTCGATACAAGATGTTTGGACGGCATTACGTGCTGTTAGAACATCATTGGACGCATTGCATGGGGCTAATCTTATTAATACAGGCCATGTTGAAGGAGCAAATGCAAGAATCGATCAAGTGGAAGACCGATTGGATACCTTAGAAGATTTCTGGAATATGGGAACGTTACTTGTTAACAGTTACCGTGGATTTGCAAGTCGTGGTGGTACCTTTACAGGGGAAGATGACGAGGTTGTCATTGATCTTGGCGGCATTGGTATTGTTGGTGACGATGATTTTGAAGATGTGGATGTTTAATCCTTATAAACTCTAAACAGGATTACTTTTAGAGGTGATGTATTCGCATTCATTCTATTTTTTAGGGTGATCGGGTACATTACCTCTAAATATTTCTCCTTAAAAAATCCCCTTTTTGCAAAGTGTTTTCAAAGAAGCCTAAAGAATCAATTTTAAATTTTTGACGATAAATCACTTTAATTTTATAATGAAATTCATCTTCATTTATAGAATTGGAGAAAAAGACAAAATGTTTTTAAAAGAAAAGGATTTTGTCTTTTTGTTCTTTTTTTTGTTATTTACTATAATATCTTCTGTGTCTTGTGCTTCTGGGACAGAAGATGAAGATCGGGAGGTTAGGTGCCCCTCTTTTTGCTCTATTTGCAAACAAATTATAGATAGCTTTAAAGACACATTCTGTATTCAGCAAAGGATTACTCCTATCGTCTCAATTCCTATAACTCAAGCATGGAAAGGTTATTTTCGTCAAAAGCGACAAGCAGAAACACTGTTTGACGAGGATAAAGAGTGAGAGGATATAGATGAGGAAACTGAAATATCTTCTCCACCTGGAGAAGACCGCTACGAAGATTGGGGTGGCGAGATTTATACTCTTCCTTTGGGCCCTTCTTTTCGAGTTAGTGATTTGTCTGCCCGGGGATGGAAGTTTGAAGAAAGTTCGGTTCAGCCGACGCGAGACAATAAAAAGCTTCCAATGGATATAAGTTCAAACACTGAAGAAAGCATTTCAGAACAGTTAGCTGTTTTAATTTTTCGCCTTGAAAAATATATACAAACGCTTTGTGAAATAAAGGTATTAAATAAGAGAAATGAAGGTCTTCAAGAGATTTTAAAAAATTTGAAATTTGCGAATAAAATAATAGGGACCCTTTTGAAAACATCTCCTGTTGATGAACCATTAATGAAGAACTTAGGAGATAAAATAAAGTTTATTGGGGTAGAAATAAGAAACTTAAAATTTTCGGGTATACTTCAAGAAAAAGATATTATAGCTGTGATCAAAAGAATTAACGACCCCCAGGATCAATTAATAAATTTAGAAGACTTTTGGAAAATGGATTCTCTTATTTTAAGGGGTTATAAGAATTTTTCTAGGCTTTTATCTTCATCTTCCTCTGTGGAGCACCAATCTTTTTCTCCAATGATTTGTATAGAGCAGCCTTCAGATGATGAAACAGAAAATTAATTTTGAGCCAAGTATGAAATTCGTATCCTTTTTCTTGTTTTTTCTTTTGTTTTTTTTGGGAAGGAGCCTTTGTGCGTTTGCATCCATAGACACACAAGAGGACCAGCGATCAACAGGGTGTTGCCCCTCTATTTTTAGAGGCTTTGTCTCTCTTGTAGGAGGCGGCTCTAATCGTGTTGCCCCTGAACCTCCAGGAGTCAATGTAGAAGTTGATCATCATAAAGTTCTTCTGCATCGTATTCAGGCGTGCATGCTCAATTTTGATCGCCTTCCTGACTTAAAAAATAATCGGTACGCCAAGAAAGTTCAAAAGGGGATGAATCGTCTTAAGGGTGAGGTCTAGGCACAAGTTTTAGAGGACAATGTTTTTGGAAATGTTCATTCCGTTTGTGAATTAATAGAAAGTTTTTATCATTATAGTATGACTAGGAACAGAGAGGCCCAAACGCGTAATCGCATGTTACAAAACATTGATACTCAAATTATAGGATTAAGAGAAATCTTAGATAGAAGATACTTTGAAGTTGTTTTAATGCCATCTCAACTTGAAGCGAATCTTGCCTTCCCTAAAGATGAAAATATTGATGTTGGAAATAATCTCAGCGCTCCCATTCTTACATTAACGCTTCCAGAGGAGGATAATTTTTAGGGTCTTAAGACGAGAGGTTTAAGTGGCAACAAACCGTTGTATGGTCAGAGGGACGTTCCCATCCCCTTGAAGATGTGTCGATATAGGCTTGTTCTATACAATCCAAAGCTTGTGCATTTATTAGCAGGTGATCAATGCGCAAACCTGAATTGCTATCCCATGCTCGGGTGCGGTAATTCCACCAGCTAAAAAGGTCTTTCCCATTTGGGGCATGGATTGGGTTTTGTAAGCGTACAATATCATAGAGGCCAATATGGAGAAGGCTTTGAAACGCTTGACGTTCTGGAGAAGAGCACAAAATTCGGTCTTTCCAAAGGACAGGGTCGTAAACATCTTCATCTTTTGGGGCGATATTAAAGTCCCCCCCAATGACAAAGGGCTCATCATAAGATAGCACCTGTTGAAGATGTGTCCGTAAGCGCTCTAACCACTTAAGTTTGTAATCGTACTTTGCATGACCAACTTCTTGGCCATTAGGGATATAGGCGGAAGCAACACGAAGTTTCCCTCCAATGACGGCTTCGATATAGCGAGCTTCTTGATCGTTTGTGTCTCCTGGCAAAGTGGTTGTCACATCTTCGATAGACTCTTTTGCGAGGATAGCGACGCCATTATATGTTTTCTGCCCCACAACAGCAAAGCCATACCCTTTGTCTTCAAAGATTTCATAAGGGAATGCTTCTGCGATTGTTTTTGTTTCTTGGAGGAGAAGAACATCAGGCTCTGCTTCATCAATCCAGCGTTCAACAAGGGGAAGTCGCGCTTTAACAGAATTCACATTCCAGGTGGCAATAAGAAGGCTATCTTTTGTGGGCATTGTGTTAGGCTCCTTTCAAAACTTATACAGAAAAGGAACTGCCACATCCGCAA